ATCCATTACTGCGAATGCAATTGACAACGACCGTATCAGCCGTAATATGATTCTTGACATAATCATCCCAATACTTTGCCATATCCTCAACTCTTCCATCTCTTGTGGTGTTTTTCCATCAACTTGGAAAGACGCTCACATAATACCGTTGCCTAAAAAGCCCAATCCTACATCTTTTTCGGAATATCGTCCTATATCTATATTGCTATTCCTATCCAGAGTTCTCGAACTCCTGGTATATAATCAGCTCAGTGCTTTCCTTCGCAATAAATACCTTCTAAATCCTCTACAATCTGGTTTTTCTCCTGTTACAGCCTTAGTCAAAATTACGGAAGATATAAGATCTGCCATGGAAAATAGCAAATGAAATATACTTTCTCCGTTAGATTTTAGCAAAGTCTTTAATTCAAGTGATTTTGAAGTTTTCCTGGATATATTTAGCTCTCTTACAATTCTCCAACAGTGATTGGTTCATTTCGAAGTTAACTGTCTGGGCGCCGGTAATGTATTTGCATTGATGACACATTTTCTTCTTGGTGTGATACCATTGCTGGTGTCCCGCAGGGTGGCGTATTATCTACCTTACTATCTTCAATTTTATTAATTCTATAGCTACTAAGATTACTTCTTACTACCACCTATACGCAGATGATCTTCAAATATATACTCATGTTTATCCAAGTGAACTAGCTGTAGCTATTAGTACTATAAATAGTGACCTTGAGCAAATATCAGATTGGGCAAAAATATATGGCTTAAAGATTAATCCCCTTAAGACTCAGGTAATTGTCATAGGAAGTTCGAATATGATTGGAAAATCAAACCTAAAAAGAAACTTTATCCCTGTTAGAGAAAAAGTTAAAGACTTGGGAATTTATATTAACAGGAACCTATCACGGGGTCCTCGAATACAGGAAGTTAGTCGTAAACTCTTTGAAGCTGCTCGATCATTGAACAGATTAAGGAACTTTCTACTTACTGCCACTAAAATTGCGTTTGCACAATCTCTGCTTCTTCCAATTCTGTACTATGCAAATGGCAGCTACCTTGATCTTACCGGAAAGCTACTTGATAAACTTGAGCGTCTTCAAAATTTTTGTATAAGATTTATATTTAGTTTGCGCAAATATGATCATGTTTCTTGTTTTCATAATAAGCTCAAGTGGCTTTCTATTCGTCTTCGCCGGAATGCTCATATTCTGTCACTTCTGTACAATGTTCTCTTTAATCCTTCCTATTCTTCTTATCTTAATGATCGTTTTAAACTCCTTCACTATTCCTATTCGAAAGTTTTGAGATCAGAAAATTTTACATTAAAAATACCTGCCCATAATACCAAATTTTGGGACAGGTCGTTTACTATCCAATCAGTCCGTCTATGGAATGCCCTATCTCTGTCAGTGAGATACGCCCAATCTTCTTCGCACACAATCACTATCTTAACCTTTGAATTCGTGCCATCTATATATGTATACATTAGTTTTTTATGTCACCATGGATTTTTATTTATGTTTACGTTTAGTTTTGATTGTTATAATTTGTGATTAGGCGCTTTAATAGGATATTTTTGTAGGATAAAAATTAATTGTTAATAGTTAAAAAAAAAAAAAAGAAGAAAAATAAGATAACCATAAGTATATAACAGTGAGTGCCTGTTGCCTCGGATGGAATGCTGTGTTTGCCAAAGGATTTTTTCATCGGGAATAGGCCTACGTATCCACCAGGGACGTATCCATCAGGTCCGTATAACCCCTATTCCATCTTCATCACACACCCCGGCTCCCTGCTCCCATCCTCCATTACCTCCCACCCCCGACACTTCTCTTCAGACTCTCCTCGGCCAACTCAAGCAGTCAACTCCCATTATAAAACGTATTCCACGCGGTGCCCGGTCGACGGTTTCAGAGGCATTAGCGGCCGAAATAAATAATTGCGTTAGAAACAACAATAGTAATTCTTGGCATGACCTCCTTACCTTTTCGTTCAAAATTCTCCATGTCTCAGATGAATCCAACAGTAATATTTCCCTAACGCAAAAAATAAAAAACAACACTTTAAATCCGTCTATACCTATTTGCGATCCCTCGTCTGGAACCCACAGAAAGAAGTATGACTTGTTTGGGAAGGTCGACGATAAAATACACGACGGTGATCTCAAAGGAGCAACACGCCTTTGTTCTCAAACGACACCTTAGCACCCGATACGCCGGAGACCAAAGCCGCATTACAGTCCAAACACCCCCCAGGCCCTTCCACCCCGATTTTTGTAGACCCTCCATCTGACCCCCCAGGCTACCTCCACGCCACGGTTAGAGACGTTCTAACAGCCCTCGCCTCGTTTCCAAAAGGATCGGCGTCTGGTCTAGACGGCATATCCCCACAGCATCTGATTGACCTTACCAGCTACAGCTCTGGTGTAGCTGGTGAACAGTTGACCACAAGCCTCACAAAACTGGTCAATCTCATGCTTATGGGAGATGTTTGCCCGGATGTGACGCCGCTGATATATGGAGCAAATCTTATTGCCTTGGCAAAAAAGGATGGCGGCGTGCGCCCCATCGCAGTAGGTTCTACATTCCGACGTTTAGCAGCCAAGATCTGCGTCCGGCTCACTAGAACAAAATTACAGGCCCTCTTTGAACCAGTACAAGTCGGATTTGGAACGCGTGGAGGTTGCGAGGCAGCAGTCCACGCTGTACGTACCTTCCTTAAAAGTGATTCATGCGAGGTTCTTCTAAAATTAGACTTAAAAAACGCATTTAATTCGGTCAATAGGGACACTCTGCTAAAAGAAATTAAAATACATGTCCCGGAAATTTATAACTTCCTTCTCCAGTGCTATCACTGCCCCTCAAAACTAGTTCATAAATCTAATGAGATTATTTCGGCCGTAGGCTGTCAGCAGGGTGATCCCCTGGGTCCAGCAATATTTAGTTTGGCAATAAATCCGATAATCCACTCCCTAAATTCAAAATTAAATATTTGGTACCTCGACGATGGGACCTTGGCCGGAGACGCGCAGACAGTCCTAGCTGATTTGGTGCATGTTAAACAGCATTTAAATCGCATTGGTTTAGAATTAAATTATGACAAATCTGAATTATATATTTCGGACAAAGTAAATCCACTAACCGCTTCCCAGATCGCTCAAAATTTTAACAACATTGCTCTTAACATTAAAATAGTAACGAAGGACAGTCTGCACCTCCTCGGCTCCCCCATCTTTGAGGAGGCCATTCCTCTTCTCTTAAATAAATCAACAACAAACTTCAGCAAGTATTCGGACCGCCTTCTCAAAATTAGTAGCCACTCTGCTTTATTTATTTTAAAATTCTGTCTGTTCGTCCCTAAATTCACTTACATGCTTCGCTGTTGCCCTATTTGGAAATTCCCCCATTTGATCACACCTATTGACACTCTAATGAAATCCAAAATTGAAAACATCCTGAACATTCACTTGAGCGAACAGGCTTGGACCCAAGCCGCTTTACCAATAAGGAACGGCGGCCTGGGAACACGCAAAATTTTAAGTGTGGCTTTGCCTGCATTCCTGTCTTCAATCCACAGCACGCTAGATCTCGCAGGTAGAATATTAAAAGCCCCAGCGGGCATTAACTGCAAGATTGCATGTTTGGACGAGGCCACGAATGCATGGCTAGCTGGACCGAGTCCAAATCTCCCATCCAAACCACATAAGCATAGGGCCTGGGATACAATAGCGTCCGTCGCCACCTTACAAACTTTAATAGAGCCTTCAACTGGCAGGGACCGGGCCAGGCTGTTAGCTGTGTCCAAGCCAGAATCTGGTTACTGGCTCCAGGCATATCCCTCGCCCAACACTGGGACTTTTATCAACCCGGACACTCTACGCATAGCCGTCGGTCTCCGGCTGGGAGCTGGGATCTGCACAGGTCACAACTGTGTTTCTTGTGGGACTCCAGTGGACCGACTCGGCCACCATGGCCTCTCCTGCACCTCGGGCGCCGGCCGCCTGTCCCGCCACGCTGCTCTCAACGACATTCTCAGAAGGGCGCTCGTCAGTGCCAACGTTCCCGCCGCTCTGGAGCCCCAGATTGTGCGGAGCGATGGCAAGCGCCCTGACGGAATGTCGCTCATACCCTGGAAGTCGGGCCGTGCGCTGGTGTGGGACGCCACCTGTACAGACACCCTGGTGGCGTCCTATCTACCAGTAACTACCAAACGTGCGGGGGCGGCGGCAGACGCCCGGGAACGCCTCAAGGTCTCTAAATACAGCTGTCTCGGCGCCCAATATCAGTTTTTTGCTTTCGGCGTCGAGACACTAGGTCCCTGGGGCAAAGGTGCGCTGGAACTCCACAGGGAGCTCAGCAAAAGGTTGAGGGAGGCAACAGGCGACCCTCGCGCCGGCGGCTTTCTCGCGCAAAGAATTGCAATCGCAGTTCAACGCGGGAATGCTGCCTGCGTGATGGGCACCCTGCCAAGAGGCCCAGGCCTCTTATTTAAATAGTTATTTTATTTTATTTTTAAGGTTTAGTTTTAGTTATTTTAATTTAGTAATAGTTTTAGTCTAGTATTATTTTTTTTTTGAGGTAAAGTTGTTTTGTTACACAATGTCATTTAATTGTATAAAAATGTATTTACTTTATTTCTATATATTTTAATGAAATATTTATAAATATTGTTTCTGCATCACCAAACCACACAATTTTCTGTCTTTTATAACCCTGTCCATCCAAAGGTTGTCTGGAAGAAATCGCTTTTAGTGATAAGACCTCCCATTGTGTCACTATTTTTATTTCATTTGGTGTACAATAATGAATTATCTATCTACCTATCTATCAAACCACTTGGTTCTGATGCATAGAATATCAACATAAATGGGATGAAGACCCCCTGATCGTCTGGTTGTCTGACGATGGAAAGGATCGGGAGGAATTTTTTCATCTACGTATGACGAGTCATAACTCTTTTGTTGTAAAGTTCCACTAATTATAATTAATTTACCTTTCTATTTTTTCCAGTGGGATGCGAGGTAAGCTCAGAAACAACGTTATTGGATTTCATCCGATCTACTCTGAAATTATCTGGTACTAAGTACATGTGTAATGAAGCGGGCTGTGGTGCTTGCATCGTTTCTGCTGTTAAATGTCCCGGGGCACCAAATACATCAGTGAATTCGGTAAGTAATTTTCTTTGAAATATTGTGTTGCTATTTAATATCTTGTAGATTTGATGTGACACATTTAAAGATTTAAAATTGACAGATGTACTGTGTTGGTAAAAATAAAATAGTTTTTTCCTACTTGTAGCAATTTTATATACGTGGTAGAGCCATGCTGCAGCTATATTATGGTTGTAGCACGAATTAGTCGGCTCGACCGGGGAAGGACCACACTCTCACAGAATACCAGCGTAAAATAGCAGCTTAACGCTGCTGTGTTTCGTGAGAGAACCGGAGATCCTTTTTACTGGAAACGAGGCATTCCATCTTATTCCTCACGGGTGACAACGCATCTGCATTTTTATTCTTAATCGAAGATAGATGTAGATGTCTATGGGCACATCAACCACTTACCATCATGTGAACCGTGTGCTCGTTTGTCACCCTTATCCGTATCCTATAAATAAATTGACTTAGGTTGTAAAATTTTGAAAAAGTAATAGAAAAAAGTGCTACCCACTTCCGCGCAGCGGTCGTAGTCACTAACCAACAGGCTCTCCTTACTATCCGCTTGCCCGACTCTTCCATAAAAAATTAAACATGGCTTTGAAACACAATGCGAGACTATCAGAAAAAGCAGCGCGTGCTTATCATCTTTAGTTATCAGATTATCGTTTTAAATTACTTAATTTTTGACAACATTTAACTTTAATAAATTCAATTTGTAACATTCTTAAATTAAATTGCACTAGGCTTCAATATTTAATTCATCATCATCATCATTACAGCCCTTCACAAGTCCATTACTGAACATAGGCCTCGCCCACGGAATGCCACAAAGCACGGTCCTGAGCCACCTGCATCCATTATCTTCCTGCATGTCTTACCAGGTCGTCACTCCACCTAGTGGGCGTCACCCTATACTTCGCCTACCGGTACGAGGCTGCCACTCGAGAAACTTTTTTCGCCATTGGTTGTCGGTTCTTCGAGCTATATGACCGGCCCAATATTTAATAAATAATGAAACTCTTGCAGTGTATGGTATCAATAACATCGTGTCAAGACTGGGAAGTAACTACAATAGAGCATTTGGGAAATAGGCTTAAAGGCTATCACGTAATCCAGACGACGCTTGCAGAAAATCATGGAACTCAATGTGGTTACTGCAGCCCTGGTTGGGTAATGGCTATGAACAGGTATTCAAAGGATAATAAAATAATATCAAAAGAAACTGTATTTAATTATATGTATAGTTCTACAATATTTTGTATAGTCTATTACAGAGCAGAAAGAACCTTACTATGCTTGAAATAGAACAATCATTCGGAAGTAATGTCTGTAGATGTACAGGCTACAGACCAATATTGCATGCTTTTAAAAAATTTGCCAAGGATTCTCCCAGTTGGGAAAAGATACATGATATAGAAGATCTGCACATATGCAAGAAAAATAGCGGCGAATGTACAAAAAGTGACTGTGAGGATTACGACTGGTGTATTGTTTCAAAGGATGATGTTAAAAACCAATCTGTGTTACATATAAAATTAGAAGATGGTCGTGAATGGTTTCGAGTTCGAGAATTATTTGACGCGTTTAATATATTGCATGTAAAGGGAGATGATTCATACATGTTTGTTGCAGGCAATACTGCAAAAGGTACCTTATCGCAAAAATATCTATAGAATTTCTAAAAGTTTTCTTCCAAATTGATATATTTTTATAACTATTTTTCGCAGGCGCGTACCCCATAGACCAGTATCCCAGAATACTTATTGACATCAGTATGGTAGCTGAACTGAAGAAGGTTCTTTTAGATCAAAATTTAGTCATTGGCGCCGGATCAACAATTTCTGAAATAATGGAAGTGTTCAAAACAGTGGGTAACCACGAATATTTTGAATATCTCCTAACATTTTATGAACATCTTACACTTGTTGCACATATTCCCGTTAGAAACGTAAGTACTTGCAATTAAGTATATTGACAACAAAAGGAACTACTACTAGTTACTATAGTTCTCATAAGGACGTTTTTCTGTTCCTTATTGCTAAACTGTAATCTAAAAAATATAGATTCGTAGCTATCTCTTAAATGTGGTTTCATGGTAACAGTAGGAAAATGACGTCTCACTATAACGTTGTGACTAATAAGCCTATGGGAATAATATCAAGCCATGTAAACCCTTGTTTCAATCGTATTCCGGTATTCAATCCTACTGCGGGGAGTGCTCAGAAAAATTATTTCGTCTAATTCCAGCCGCTCAATTTCACCATTCCACATCGACAGAACTCTAAACACTGTCCGTACCATCTGAGTGATTGGCGATCCACTTAAGTGCGATTTAAAAGAAGTTTTCTTCCTCGCACATCTTCCTTGTCGAATCGAATACCACCAGCAATTTTTCCGCCCTAATATGACTTAGGAACCTTCAAGAACCTACTCTTTTTAAACGGCCGGCAACGCATCTGTAATTCCCCTGGTGTTAAAACTTCATGGGCGGATGTAGTTAATTACTATCAGGTGAGCCGAATGCTGGTTTGCCCCCTCCCAGGTAAAAAAGTCATCGTGATTGGAAATTAACCAGGAGACATCATGATTATCACCACGAATGCAGCAAACAATATGGGGATTTGTTTAAAGCACGTTATGATACAAGTGTCTTGTTATAAAACACAACAGAAGGTTTAATTTTTAATAAAAATAGTTTGCTTGTTCAGCTTACTTTTAATTATCTACCTTTTCTTTGTTATTTTACTTTTAAGCTGGGAACAGTGGCTGGCAATCTCATGATAAAATATGAGCGTAATGAATTTACATCAGATATTTTCGTGCTATTTGAAACAGTTGGCGCGCAAATAACAATAGGTAAGTACAATTGAAAAAGTTTTAAACGTTGAAATTGAATAACGTTTTAGAAAAAGTTTAAGGAATTGAAAGGTTATTGTCAGAATTGAAGTTATTTTATTTCAGTGAATACTTCCGGTGTTAGAAAGACCGTATCTTTGCAAGGATTTCTCAAAGAAAATATGAGAGGAAAAATTATTCTCAATGTGCTATTACCTCCCCTAAACAAGGACTACAAAGTACTGTCATTCAAGGTAATATTTTTTGTTTCAATAAATCCATATTTACAGTTCAAATAATAATATTATAATATATTTACTTCATTTTAATTAATAAAGTTCAAAATGCTCTTAATTCTTTAGAGATCTCCAAAGAAGCTGGGCCTAATGGCTTTCCCGTAATACATTTTTCTCGATAAAAAGATAAAATATGAGTGCCTCTGCATATTTTGTTTAATAAATACATGCGGGAGAAAACTTTTTCTGACATTTGGAAGCATATTAACGTCGTTACCGTACGTAAAAATGGGTCAAAGCCATGGTCATAATAGTCAAAATTCAATGGTCATAATATCAAAAATTATCGTCCAATTTCACTCTTCTTTACTGCATCAAAACTTTATGAAAGATCAGATCAGAGCAACATGGCTTCGGAAAACAAAGATCAACTATAGCTAACTTTACATTTTTTGCTAGTGAGCTATTTTTAACATCGATAATCGAATATAAATAGATAAAGTATCTACAGATTTTCGGAAAGCGTTTGACAAAGTTGACTATGAACTACTTCTTAAAAAATGGCATTTAATAAGAGTCTGGTGTTCCACAGGGATCTATCCTTGGTTTATTGCTCTTTATTCTTTTTATTAATGACATAAACGAATGTTTTAAACACTCGAAAATTTAAAAACTTTCAGTCCTAGGACTGCACATCAGAAGTGAAAACTTCTTAGCTTCACAAACAGCACATCACTTTACATATATCAGAGCGTGATAGTCCCCATCCCAATAGCACCCTACGTACCTATGAAAATTTTTACTTCAAAAATTATTATATGCCTATAATCTAAACATTTATAAAACTATAAAAAATATAAATGATTGTTTCTTCTTTCAAGCAGACCTTGATATTTTAAATTTGTACTTACAAAAATTTTACTTTATCTTGTATCCCAAAGTGTACAGTACAATATATTTTACTAAAAACAAATGAGTAGTTAAACTGATCGAGCCTCTTTAGTTTGAAAATTGGTGTAATTTTGGACCAAAACTCCTTCGATGTACATTTAGAAAAAATTATAAGCAAAGCAAAACTTCTTGGTCTAGTCGTGAGATACGTCAACATATCATTTGTATCTGCTTAAGTCCTTGATTCAACCACAATAAGAATATGCTTGTGTTATATGGGGTTTTTATCGTGCTATGCAAAATATAGCGAAACAATAGAAAGAGATAGGCAAGTTTTTGTGTATCATAAATTTTATCATCTTTAAATATTTACACTTTTATAAGATAAACTTCGTGTTATATATCTTAGCCGCTACGAGGTTGAGACGTTTATTGTTGCAGGCTATGTTTTTGTTTATTACGTCATAAGAAATTTGATTGCCCAGAGATTTTAATCAGATAAAATTAATAGTACTTCGCCATAAAAACTTACGCAGTGTTCGCCTAAGACGTATGTTCGCCATTATTGCTTACTGTTCAGATGCCAGCAAACGCATACCACTGCAACGATTGATGTCTAATAATGATAATTTTGTGATTTAGATATTTTTGCAACAGTTGTACCCAAAGTGCACGGGGCAAACAGAGCCATAAAATCATGTCGACCCCTGCCACCTATCCGTAGACTTTTACAACATCAGGGGACTTCACTCGAACCTTAACACCATCCACTACCATCTAGAGACGGCGAAGCCGGTCTTGCTCGTTAAAGATATCTGTTCTCGACGCCTCGACAATCTTGAAGGTACGGACATGTCCATCCTTTGGCTGCGTGTAGACAACGACGACCATCCTCGCATCTACAGGTGCCTTTATACGTCCCATAGCGGAAATTCTGACACAGACCGACTCATAGACCACGTTCAAATTGCTACAGGTTTCTTGCTACAACAGATCCCATCCGTGGAAATCGTGATACTTGGCGATTTTAACGTTCATCATTCCAAATGGCACAGTTCACGCTTAACTGATCATGCGGGAAGATCTGTTTATGACTTTGCCTTGGCGTATGGTCTGACACAACTGTTTACTTCACCTACGCGGATCCCAAATATGGAGGATCATACACCTTCCCTGTTAGACCTTCTGCTGACCTCTCATCCGGACTGATATCAGGTTTCCATCGACGCGCCTCTCAGTTCTTTGGACCATTGTCGGATTCAGAATGTGGTGCCACTCACGCTCTCTTTGCGGTTGCGTTCTGCAGGCTGCCGCCGTGTTTGGTATAACAGGTCTGCGGATTGGGAGGAAATGCGGTCTTTCTTTGCATCCTACCTACAGGGCGGGTTTGCATCTCGCCGGATGATCCCAGAGCTAACTCTGTCACTGATGTTGTGCTACAGGGAATGGAAGTATTAATTCCATCATCTGTGGTACCCATCGGAAGAAAATCTCAGCCCTGGTTTTGTTGATCTTGTAAGACGTAGGAAGCAGAAGTGTAGTAGTAAGTAGTAGTGTAAGTACTCCTCTTCAAGACATCTACATTTATCGGACATCAAATTTAGACCAGTTTAATCCTCAGAATTTACAAGTTTATGCGTTTACTCCTAAAAAGAACCCCTTTGTCGTATCTCCTCAGTTTCAAGGCACTCCCCTTGTGTCTCCCACATGCAATTTTGGAGGTCACTTGGAAGGCCAAATTGGCCTCTAAAAAGCTTGGTGCACTGAGCAGAGCGGGACGGTATTTCATTCCGGCACACCACCTGCAACTTTACAAGGCGCAGGTTCAGCCTCACATAGAATACTGTTCCCATCTCTGCTAGGGCTCCCCAGTGTCAGCTCTTTCCACTTGACCGCATCCAGCACAAAGCGGTTCGAATCGTCGACGACCGAGTCCATTCCGATCGGCTCAATTCACTGACGCTGCGAAGAGATATTACATCACTTTGCCTTTTCTTTCGCATCTACCACGGGGAGTGCTCTAAGGAATTGTCTGCATTAATCCCAGCCGTAAAATTTCACGATAAGTAATTTCATAAGTAGTAGTAAGATAAGTAATTTCACGGCAAAATTACCGATACCATCCACACCATCTGGATGCTTTGCGGTCCACCACTGTACATTTCAATGGGATTTTTCTTCCGCGTACGACCTCTCTGTGGAATAGCTTACCAACGGCGATTTTCCGGATCGATATGACTTAGCTTCAAGAAAAGAGCTTACTCATTTCTAAAAGGCCGGCAACACACCTGCAATTCCCCTGCTGTGACAGTTGTTCATGGGCGGCGTTATTCACTAACCATCAGGTGAGCTGTATGCTCGTTTGCCCCCCTCTCCTGTAAAAAAATAATATAAATAAATTAAAATATTATTTTTTATAACTTTATTTCTTTTTGTGCAACGCACAACTAAGACGTGAATAACACACTTAATTGTACAATCATCCATTCGATTTTAAATTTAAAGTATTATGCTTTATAATACTCATTGTACTATTATTTGTTGTCCCAAATAAAAACAATATCCAATCATACTTGAAGAAAACCCCCATAATACAGCCATGGCTCTAATTACAACAAAGAAAAAATATTTTATATGATCCTACAAAAAGAATTGCTCCAGCTAAGCAATTGCAATTTATGCACGTAGAGAAAAAATTGAACTTGGAGGTATTTTATGGAAACTTAATAGTTTAACTGTATATTATTTATGTTTATCGTATATTTTATTAGTTATACCTACAAACTTGACAATTTTATAGATAGAATATTTATAATAATTATCTTATTGAAAATAATATAAACACAAAATTAATTAACATTACCTTCCACAGATAATGCCGAGGGCTCAAAATGCTCATGCAATAGTAAATGCTGGATTTCTTTACAAGTTACACAACAATCTAGCTATCGAATCAAGAATCGTATACGGTGGTCTATCACCATTGTTTGTTCGAGCTATCAATACTGAAAAATATCTTATTGGAAAACCATTATTTACAAACGAAACTCTCCAAGGAGCACTGAATGTGCTAAGTGGAGAGTTAATAGTAACAGATAACCCTCCGAACCCTTCAATAGCATATAGAAGGCAGCTAGCTCTCGCACTGTTTTATAAGGTTAGTATTAGTAAATTTCATATCGTTGAGGTACTATATTTGCAAGAGAACTTCGATTTACATATATATATATATATATATATATATATATATATATGTATAGAGCAACAGACCACCTGCGGACTGGAGGGAAGTAGCCAAGCGTTTATCCCCGATACAGATCCGTCTGTCACTACGAAGGTGACACATAAAAGTTTAAACAACAAACTAACAATTTCACACACACATAGATACATTATGACAACTGGAATATAGACTCGGATCAGTGGCTCGACCGATCTGCATATTGTATAAGGACGAGCGGCCTGTGTTGGTGAACAAATCCGAAAACAAAAAACTGTACTCTATTTCGTAGGTTGACTGTTAAAATCAGTTGTCTGTCAATTTTGCCAAACTGAAAAAACTGCTTCCATAAGTCTGAAAAGTCATAACTCATTACAAACACGTTGTGCAACGGTAATAATAACGTTTAATGATAAGTTGTTTATTAAGGTAGAGCTATTTAAAAAAAAGGCGTTTTAATAATATTTTAGCAGAGAATTGAAAAAGGTCAAGCAATTAACTAATTTTAACTGCCGATCTTAAATTTCTGTTTTTCTCGTGTTCAAAGGTTTTTCTTGAATATTCTCTTACATTATACAATCTGTGAAACATGTATGTATATATTAATTACCAACTATTATTTACTTACAAAAAGTAGTATGTTTCACATAATAATAAAAAAAAAGTAAATAAAAACGTAACTGGTTTTACCTGAAAAGTCTAAGAAAATAGACTAAAACTGTAATCAAAGCAAAGTCAATGTTTTACGAGTTTATAACCATGCCGTTCAAAAACAAACAAAATATTTTTAAGATATTCCAAAAATAATCGTAAATATTTATTTCTACTTTCATGTCGAAGACTATCTTTTTCTATTTTATTACGGTTAAATGTTGTTAATCAAGTATTTACAAATGTTTTCATTATTTTTCAATAAACAAATAATAATATCTTTATAATAATATCTTTATTGATAAACATATTACAATCACAAATATTTACAATGGTCAACAGCCCCTAAACTAGGATATTATACCTGTATTTTAGGGGCTAGTTTTCCTTCCCTATTCTTAGTTCCTATAAAATAAAATAATTTGTTTATCGATATATAGTTAAATATGATTATGTTTACAAAAATTTCTTAAAACTAACTAACGAAGATTTAAAAAAGTATTTTAAAAAAGTATAATAAAAATATTAAAAAGGAATGTAATGTTTGCACTGTAACTAAACTGCGTTTGTGTGTTTGTGTGTGTGTGTGTGTGTGTGTGGGAGTGGGTGTGGTTAGGAGGGCGTGTGGGTGGGTGTGCGTGTGTGCGAGAGTATGTATGTATTAGCTGGTTTTGTTTATACATCCAAGGAAAAAAGGTTCTCCGTACCTTCATAATCAAATTCTTTTAGCCATTCTGTAATTTTATTTTTCACTTCAAAGTTATTTAGTGATCTTATGTTATGTTTACTATTAAGTTTGTTGTATAGCCTAGGTGCCAAAAAGTCAAAATGTCTTCTAAAAACAGCACTATTTGGTCTCGGAACAGGACATCGTTCAATTCTCTTATTGCTAAGTTTTAATTTAGGCACAGTGACACGATGATATCTCCTTAGACTTTGCAGAATAAATGTTTTACGAACAGATAGCACTTTCGCCCTGTCATATACAGACACTGTTGAGTGGCGAAATGGTAGACGAAATATTACTTTTAAGACAGCTCTTTGTGCGCGTTCAACCTTAATTAAATAACTTTTAGCGGCACCTCCCCAAGAACAAATGCAGTAATTAAAGACACACTCTCCCAATGCTTTATATGTTTTAATAAGTAGTTTGTAATCGGTCACTGTCCGTAAACTTTTAAATATATAAATTAGTTTTCTTAGTTTATTAGCCACTGCATCAGTATGGGCCTCCCAAGTTAATTTGTTGTCAATGATTACACCAAGATATCTGATCTGATCAGTTTTAGCTAAATTACTACAATGACATGGTGTAAAGTTAATAGTGCGATTGCAAGGATATCTGTGGATAGTAATTTTAAAGTTTCTAGTTGGAAGAGAAGCATTAGTCTTACCGAAACATAGGTATTTGGTCTTTGAAACATTAAGAGATAGTAAATTATCTTCAAGCCAACTTGTCACTAACCTAAGACCATTTTCTGCGGGTTGTGCTACTTTATCCCAAGTGTCTCCATGAAAAATCAATACAGTATCGTCAGCAAACATGGTTAAATCGGCATTTTTGATATTGATTTTACACAATTCGTTAACATAAATAAGGAAGAGCGAAGGACCTAAGGTACTTCCCTGTGGCACACCGTAAGAGCAAGAGGAACTGCTGCTTGTGTAATTGTCGATTCTGACACGTTGGCGTCTATTCGAAAGATAGTCTCTAAACCAGTTGTAGACAACACCTCTTATACCCAAGTTTTCCAAACGGTTGAGCAGTATGGGAATCGACACTGTATCAAAGGCTTTTTGAAGGTCCAAGAAAACCCCTACACATTTTTTGTCACAGTCGAGGTATTTAGATATAAGAGATGTTAATCTTAATACAGCATCTTCTGTTGATCTACCCGAACGGAAGCCAAATTGATTAATATCAATGAAATTGTTTCTTTCAAGGTACCGTATCAGTCGTTTATTCACTACCTTTTCCAATATTTTTGACAGAGTACTAAGAAGTGAAATCGGTCTATAATTAGAATGGAGCTGCTTGTCACCAGATTTGTATATAGGACAAACCGTAGCTTCTTTAAAAATAGCAGGAAAAACACCTTGCTCTAAACTTAAGTTGCAGATAAACGCTAATGGCTCAGAGAGGATATTTATGTACTTCTTTAGGAAATAGAGAGAATATACAAATATTATCATTAATGTATGACTGGCACACTTAAAAGTTTTATCAGGTGGCTAAATGATTTACTATCATTTTATGATAAAGTCATGCTTTTCTATAAAAAGGTGCAAGTAATTTTAATTCACGGACCTCTTTGTTTTATTATTTACTTCATTAGCGTAAAACAAAATAGACTGATCTGAAAGTTTACTACACGCACACAAACACTTACGCCTGTCACCCAGAGGGGTAGGCAGAGTTTACGGACTTCGATTTGGCGCGATCCTGACACACCTCTCTCGCCTCCTTTTCATCCATATATCTACGCATACACGCGCGTCGCACGCCGAGTAGAAGGCCAAATAAGCCATCATCATCATCATCATCATTACAGCCCTTCACAAGTCCACTGCTGAACATAGGCCTCCCCCAAAGAATGCCACAAAGCACAATGCCAATAAGCCATGTGCCAATTTAATTAAAAACATTTTATATAAAGTGATCTTGACTAAGTTTCATCAATTCACCATTGATTAAAATAAGAACAACAATTTTACAAATGTGTTTACAAAAACACTATCAGTTGGACCTTGCAGATTGTTCATTATTTTTATTATAAATACATATATTATAAATAAATCATTCTCGTAATATTACGTATTATTTTTTTATTTTGAAACCTATCTGAAACACTCTAAACTCTATAAAAAATGTGGTGTATGCAATGACTGACAATCACTAGAACATTTTATCTAGGAACAAAGATGTTTTACGTTGTCGTAGCCTCCACATGATATTTTTCTCAGCATTCTGTGTGTGAAACGAATACGAATATTGCATATACGTATACATATACGATACAAAAGTAAAGTAAAGTGAAAGCCTATATACGTCCCACTGCTGGGCACAGGCCTTCTCTTATTTCTGAGAGGATTTGAGGGCCAGAAAATGTCCCCCGCGCTGCCCCAATGCCGGTTTGCGAACTTCACATGTTTTCAATTTTTTTTCTTATTCCTCAGACGTGCAGGTTTCCTCCCGATATTTTCCTTCATCACGTGCTAAATCAGCACTTAAAATTGCAATTAAAAATGTCATTGTTACTGCCAGGGATCAAACCTGGGCAAAATTTACGGCGAACGCTCAGACTCAGAGCTACTAATACGACACAAATAAATACGATGCAACAAATATAATAAAAACTCTTACGTACTTAAAACTTAAGTACTTGATACCTCATGATGCCTACTGGCCGAGGCTACAGAACCACACCGCGCAATGTAATTAAAATTGCTATTGACACTAAAACTAAATTTTAAAAGTATTGAAACTATTGCTTGAAAAATCAGACACTGCACATACAAGCCCGACTCTTTTTTATCGCACAAGACCTGTATTGAGTTAACATTTCACCTGATGGTCATTAGTCACTGTAGACCATTGACACCTGCAACCATTTTTAAGCAAAGAATGCTATAAATGTATTGTAACCGCTGAGAACTAGGACAAAATTCCTCTCAGCTTATTATCATGCTGTCTCTCAAGCAGGCAAGAGGGTAATATCTACTTAGACGGACTCCTAAGCAGTCCTTAGTAGTCACAATTTGATAAAATTAACTGCAGTAAATATCTTTATGCAAACTTTAAAGCCACAAGATTATCCTATATCGATACATTACGTAGGTGGATAAATTACAAATGGAAAAACACCCAGACACAAAACAATTATTTGTAGTCCATCAATAGTTGTTTTGTGCAAGAGTCGAAGCCAAATCAAAATCAAATCAAGGAAAAGAACTTTTCTTTAGCCTCTTTTGGTCCACCTGTTGGATATAAACCTTTATCAAGATGAATATGTATTATATTTTTTCTTAATTTCAGCTATTTATAAAAGATTGATTTTTATTACAGGGGCTACTTACACTATGCCCACCAAATGTCCTGCACCCACGGTATCGTTCAGGAGCCATCAAATTGAAAGAGACCCGTCCTGTGTCCGATGGCCGACAGATATTTGATACAAACCCTTCACTGTGGCCATTAAATCAGCCACTACAAAAAGTTGAAGGATTGGTAAGTTATATATATATCTATATATATGTAATACAAAATTTGACCTCCTCAAAGTTCAAAAACTTTAATAAACAAAGTTGGTATAATATTAAGGAATTTATGGATAATAATAACCCTTGGGAATGAGGTGATATCTACCAAGCTATTTCTACTTTGACTTGTGATATTAATTATGAAATATGTGTTGAGTGTGCACTATAGCCAAGTCTTTGAATTTGAGCAACAAAATTAGGACGGTTTCTGTTAAAATTCAAATTACATGGAATATAATTAAGAGTGAAACTAGTAGGGTCAAGCCTCGCTATTCAAACTACTAGTTGAGTTTTAACTACAAATTACCTGAATCAGATCAGGACGTTGCAAACGTTTTTGTGAAATATTTTACTAATATTCCGATCTGAACCACTAATGCCCGGTTTCTGAAGTTCCTAGTTATATTCCCATTAGCTATTGATTCAACAAAGTTATCTATGGGATAAAGCGTCTCCCACACACAAGCGGCTTGCGGTGGCGGCTAACTGCGGGCCGCGGCTGCAGCCGCTGTAACAACACACCACCGCGGCCCAAGTGGCGGCCTGAAGCGCCATTCGCTGAGGTGTCTGTGTTACGATCGGACGTATGAACATGACAAACCGTGACGAAGTTTTTATTATATTCAGCAATATTATCATATATTTTGTTTTAATACTAATGCTTTTGTGATCACGATGCGAATTATCATAAAGTACTGGATAATTTTGCACTGTTTCTATTAAAATCTCTGAATTTAGCACCATTTTTCACGCGGTACACGCGGCCTGTTGTAAAAATTTACAACTGACCGCGTACTCGCTGACACACACGCATTGGCAAATGGGGCGGAGCATGCGGCCGCGGCCAGCCGCTCGCAGATCGCGACAAGGCCGCACGAGTTTGCAGACTCACTTACATTGCAAGCGAATACAACTGGCCGCCACCGCGGCCGCCACCGCAAGCCGCTTCTGTGTGGGAGACGCTTAAACGTCGGTTAACTGTCACTGCGTTTCAACAACTATGAAACCATTAACAAGTACCATAGTTTACCGCTAGATGGGTCTGTTTAAGACATCGAGTCTAAAATTGATTATTTAATTTCAATTCTTCATTTATACTACTATTATTTATAAAATACATTTTTGAGGCTAAATAAGAGGATATGCACTGTTTTAGTAATAAAATATGATAATTCCATATTTAACCAGAAACTGTATGAATGACATCATTGTATTGTCAAATTGTTAAAAAAAAAACATCAAACTCATTGCTTTTATTCGAACATTGAGATATAATGTACTGTACATTATATCTCAATGTATTCGAATGTGGTTTTATTTTTCATAATTTTCTGATTTTAAGTTTAGTAGTATTTACTATCGTTTTGGCATTAACCAAAACATTATGGAATCTGGAAAACGTAGTAAAAATTTTTCTGAAAGAGAGAAGAGTACTCGTATTCATTGCACTTTTATTAATAATTATTTTATCCCTTGAATATTTTAGTGTTTAGCGCCCACTGGCATTTTTTTATAGGATAAGGGTGACAAACGAGCACACAGTCCACCTGATGGTAAGTGGTTAATAATAACACGTTATAACCTAAAAGTTGATGTAGTTTGCTTAAAATTAAACGTCAAATAAAGTTATAGAACCGAAAAACGGCACATATTGGCCTGTTAAATTAAACTTAGATTAAACGGAGTTTATCTTACATTGCGATGTTTGGAAACGCACTTTCACAAGTTATCGAACCAATAGCGCTAACAAATAGATAAACTGCCGATAAAAGGACCTCAGAAACCGAGCATATATCATTGAATTCTTCTACTGCCGTTGCCAAATCATTACTTAAAGAAAATTTAAATGCATGTAAAAATAATTTTACATTTTACAAAGTATCATCAAAAGTTTTTATAAAATATTTTACAACAATTGACACTAAAACTAAATTTTAAAACTATTGAAACTATTGCTTGAAAAATAAGACCACAGCACGTTTGGTTCCCGCCTCCGGAATGGACTACTACATGGAGGATGATATTATAGAGATTCTGAAGGAATTCCAGTACCGGTTTTCCACCCGCTTTCAGACGTTCCGCTGTAATTCCCTCTTCGCCTGTGGTCTTGCCTTTTTTAAGGTACTGGAGAGCCATACTAATCTCGCTCAGACTAACGTTTGGGATATCTATGGAATAGTGTCGTATAAGACTTGCTCTTGGATCGTTTCTCACAGTTGCGTGTGGCTCCAATAATGATATGTGACAGCTGCCTATAGAAACTTGCAATCTTATTCAAAATCTCTGTTGTCCCGAAAACAAAGCTGCCACATTCGGTCTTCTGCTTTGAGAGTTGGCTCTTTCTGGCAAACAGATCTCTGGCAAAGACTTTGGAGCACTGATTCCACTCAATTGCTTCTTCAATACAAGCTGTATTGAAGTTACGTAAGACCCGCCAAATGCATTTGGAAATCTGTCTGTTCAGTTGCCTGTAAGCTGTCGAATCTTCTGTAGATTGCAGCTTCATATCTCGTCTAACAGCCATGAGGTTAAGAGTGTGATTGAAAAGTTTTTGTGTTCTTCGCAGAACGAAGACCGCATGGAAAGTTTCCACGAGCATATCATTCATATTGTCCACTGCATTGCAGTTTTCTAGGCACTAAAAACGGTTTCTTTACGCGAGCTGAAAGTTTTCGAGACTTTGGACGAGCACGAGGGAGACGGAGCGTTGACTTTATTAGACGAGACCTTTCGAACTTAACATTTAGGTTCAGTGTGCCTCTTACCATTCGGTGATCGCTGCCAGTTTTCAACCTCACGATCACTGAGACTTCACTGATTAGTTGTTGTCTTTTCGTCATAATGAAGTCAATCTCATTCTGTGGCTTGTGTGCTAGTTTGTCACCCTTATCATATCAAAGAATACCGTTTTCGCCAGACACATGGTAGATCAACACTTTAAAATACATTTATCTATTTTATTGATGCCATACAATTTCAAAAAGCAGAGTTCAAACTCAATAAAATTTACAGCAAGCACTTAGGACCTGGGCTACAACAGCTCGCTATTTGTCTAAAAATTATGTGTAGATATTTTAAATGTCCTATTGTCACTAAAGCTACTTTATACAGAATGTACATTGTAAAGAAATGAACTCGAACGCATCGGTCCTTGCAGATATCAACGCAGTTTTATTTTAGCCAGAAATTGTCTAAAATTTTGAGTTTCTTAGAACTATTTCGATTAACTTTAAGGTAATTGAGAATAACCAGTATAGTTTTTCCGCATTTTATAAAAACACAATTCTCGAACGCGGTCGTCATTTAGCTGCCTTGAGTACCTTTATTTATAATTGCATGCCATATGGACATGAAAATAACTCGCTATGAGGCAGTTACTTCGATATGTTACAGATAGACACTTCAATTATATTTATGCATTTTATGAATTTGGAATAAATTTTATTGAGTTTTTATAGATTCAGTGTGCAGGAGAAGCACCGTTTACAGAAGACATACCTCCATTACCGAAAGAGGTATTTGCATCATTTGTATTAAGTACTGTTGCCTTGGGTGATGTAGAAGTTATCGATTCAACCCTTGCTTTAGTAAGTTTCTATTTTATATTTAGAATTTCTCACTTCACACATAATTATCAAATTAACCACAAATTTTATAACAAAACATACTCTTTATTTGCAGAGAGAACCTGGTGTAATAGCATTCTACACAGCCAAAGATATACCAGGGGTAAATTCGTTCATTCCTTCTGGCAGCTCATTCACTCCAGTTAATGAGGAATTACTTTGCAATGGCAAAGTTAAATATTACAATCAACCGATTGCAATAGTTGTTGCTAAAACTCGACAAATAGCTGATAGAGCAGCTAAACTAGTAACAGTTAAATATGCCAATGTAAAGAAACCACTTCTAGACATTAAAATTGCTAAAAGCATTGCTAATAGAAATACGATGTTTTCAAATATCGTTGAAACAGAGAGAGGCAACGATATCACAAAAGTAATAAGCGGTTCAAATACTATCTATGGACAATATCACTTTTGTATGGAGACATTAGTCTGTGTTACCCGACCTACAGAGGAAGGTTTGGAAATACATTCGGCAACACAATGGATGGACGGAGTACAAGTTTCAACATCGCGTGTTCTAAATTTACCAGAAAATAGGTGATATATATGTTTTTAAAAAAAGTACATAAAAAACAGTATACTATTTTACTCATGTAAAATTCAGTTATATATAGTTCGCAAAAACGTTTACGTTACGTTTTACGTAGTGGAGCCCACGCTGCAGCAAGAATGGGTCGGCTCAAATGGGTTAGGATCACGTTTTCAAAAACTAACGTGAAACAGCAGAATAATGCTATGTTTCGTATGGTGATTGTAGAGAATCGGAGATCCTTTTTACTGGTAACAGAGTATTTCATCTTATTCCTAAGGGATAATAGTATTTTGATTTTCAATCGATGATGTTTATGGGCCACAGCACCCAATTACTATGAAGTAGAACTCTATGCTCGTTTGTCACCCTTATTCTATAAAAAATACGAAAAAAATAACCAAGATATAGTGTGAGAACTGAGAATGTACCTTAATAAGCACACAAATTTGATCCTGTCCTGCGTAGAAGAAATTCGGTCTGGAGAACATTATTATTATTGACCTTAAATATTTTGGTCAAATACTGGTTTCATTACGATATTTTTCCAACAGGGTGCTTGTGAACTTTAAAGAGGTACAGAAAGAAAACTGAGAAAAAGTATAATTTATATGTTTTATGCTACATTGCTACAAAACTTTATCAATAAGACTTTTTAATGAGGCTAATTAAGTCACATTTGATTACGCTTCTTCATAACATTTTTATAGGATCGATGTACATGTGCGGCGGCTCGGCGGTGCGTACGGATACAAAATCACTCGGTCTCTTCAAGTGGCAGTTGCATGCAGTCTTGTAACCCACAAGCTAAACCGCCCGTGTCGGTTCATACAATCTCTTACTACTAACATGAGAGCAGTGGGCAAGAGATTACCTTGCAGTACTAATTTTGAGGTATATTTTTGCATTCGTTTTAAAGAATTTGATCAAATAAGTTAGCTTTACCGGGAAGCACGCAATAAAATTATGAAAAGATACAAAATTATGTAAACCTTTTACTTATTTTAATATATATTATTTTGGAAACTTTCTTCGAGTGTAACTTAGTGAGTAAAAAAAATAACCAAAGAATGCCATAGCCCATTCCAATCTAGTGCCGTTTCTGTTTGCCACTTAAATTATAAATATTTCTATGCCATGTAAAGTCCATTAACTCGTACTGGACTAGAACCGGACGGTGGACTAACTTTTCCATAACCCTGTCAGAAATAAATGAAGCCATGTGCCCAGCAGTGTGACTTATGGCACAAGTCTTGTTGTAGGTAACCTGATAATGGTGACAAGTTTTATGTTCTATTTATATATATTTTTTTATATTCTAGATCGCTGTCAATGCTCAGGGTGTTATACAGTATATGAATTATGAGCTATATGACGACAACGGATACGTCATCAATGAGCCCTTCTTACTACTTACAACAGATATTTATAATAATTGTTATAGTAAAGCGAGGTGGAATTACAAATCTTTCAATACAATAACTGATAATCCATCGAACACATGGTGCAGATCTCCAGGTAAGGAACTAACTATGAAAACTTAGTTATTAATAACAATAAATATTGTCATTATTGATTGGGTCATTCTTTAATTGATAATTATCATTCTCAGGTACACTAGAATGTATTGCCATGGTAGAATTTATAATGGAACGAATATCGTACGAACTATCATTAGATCCACTTCAAGTGCGTCTTGCGAATGTAGACCCCGCTTTTCAAAACGATTTAAGAGAAATGTCTGATACAATATTAAGAAATTCTGATTACGCCCAGCGACGGAAAGATGTTGATAAATTCAACAGAGAAAATCGTTGGAAGAAACGTGGTCTGAGACTTTCATTCATGAAGTGGACGCCAGTTGGTCCTTTCTACTTAGATATTAATATGTCGGTTTATCGTGATGATGGATCAGTAGCAATAACGCATAGTGGTATTGAAATGGGGCAGGGTATTAACACAAAAGCTGTACAAATATGTGCATATTTTCTTAAAATACCAGTTGAGAAGATACAAATTAAAGCAAATAATACAATAATTGCTCCGAACGGCTTTATATCTGGCGGAAGCTTAACATCACAAAACGTTGGCATTGGTGTACAAAGATGTTGCGAGGAATTATTAAGAAAATTAGAACCAATTAAAAATCAAATGAACAATCCAACGTGGGAGCAATTGATTCAAAAAGCGTTCGCATTTGACATTGATTTACAAACGCATGCATTTGTTAATGCCTCCGATGTAAAGATGTATGATATATTTGGTCTTACAGTAGCAGAAGTTGAAATAGATGTATTAACTGGACAAATGGAAGTACTAAGGGTTGATTTAATAGAAGATGTTGGACGAAGTGTTAGTCCAGAAATTGATGTTGGTCAGGTTAGTTATCAGCGAAGACAAATTATTCACCATTGTAGGTGAGCAATTTTAGTAACTTGGTAAATAAACTCAATTATTACACTCTTCTAGGTTGAAGGTGCTTTTATAATGGGTTTGGGATACTGGACCTGTGAGAACTTGGTATATAATCCAGACACAGGTGAATTGCTAACCAATCGTAGTTGGGATTACTGGGTGCCACAGGCTAGAGACATACCACAAGACTTTAGAATATATTTTAGAAAAAAATCTTATAGTATAGATGCAATTCTAGGATCGAAAGGTAAATTTATATTTGCTATACAAATTCTTTTAGTTATAGCCGAGCCGCAATAACTGAAGTAAATAAAATATCAATGGTTTGCTTAGGTCATTGATATATAATGTACATACGTTCTATAACAGCTATTTCAAAAAAACATGTGCGCTACTCTGTCATTGAGCGTTCGCGGCAAATAGTCGTGTCGCGCATACGCGCTTAATTTTTATCATCATAGATTACGCATAGATAGAATTATCAGTAGATAATTATTATTTACTTAGATTGTATTGTTCATTAATTTATTATAACGAGTTCAATTTATAATATTCTGTCACAATTGAATTCTTTAATGTTATTTTTATTTTTACTTTTTTTAAATTTCAATTATTTAAATCTATAAATTTATATACCTAATATTATAATTATATATATAAATATATTATAATCTATATATTTCAATTATATAACATTTATTTAAATCTATAACAAATAGGTATACAAATTCAGAGTCGTAGTCACTATTAAGAGTCGGTCCCCAAGAGCCGTTTGGCAGTTTGGGGACACGGATACAGAGATAATACTTTAAATAAAACTAGTTTTTACAAATTTTATCGCGTTTAATTTAAATTTTTAATTCCCGACATTTCGGGTGCTTTACAGCGCCCATGGTCACTGGGGGGACTGAGGTGTTTAACGTCCCGACGTCATAGTTAGCCCTTCAGTTTTTGAATATAAATTTTTGGTTCGATCTACGCGGAATGAGCTTACAGTATCTTTAAGTATTGCCGGGCCAAATAATGACATCGGGACGTAAAAAACACCTCACTCCACTCCGTGACCATGGGCGCTGTAAAGCACCCGAAACATCGAGAATTAAAAAGTTAAATTAAACTCGATAAAATCATTAAAAATTACTTTCATTTAATGTGTAGTCTTTGCGTAAATATAAAAAATCATTAGACAATACTATGTTTTTATTATGCCTTATGAATTACTGTAAGGAAACATAGTAATATAACAGGTTTTTATAATGATAATATTAATCTAATTTGATGCTATGTACTTACAATATAATATTTTAACGTTGAACGTAAAAAATTATGCATTCTAATCGTATGAAATTTTTAATGTGATAAGTCGTTATTTTAACTGCCGACTTCCAAAAAGGAGACGGTACTCAATTCGACTGTATGTTTTTTTATGTGTGTTACCTCATAACTTTTTACTAGGTGAACCGATTTCGATGATTCTTTTTTATTTGAAAGCTGCTACTTCTGGTATGGTCCCATATGAATTTGATCAAGGTCAGGCCAATAGTTTTTGAGTTATTCTTAATAACTTATATTGAAGTAGGCTGTACAAAATTTTTAATTTTTAATTATTTATGATAACTGTTACTAAAACTCGAAGATCACATTATTTTTTTAGAACGCCTATAATGTCACATCTGAGTAGAATTTAAGCTATATTGTACCGAATTTTGGCCACCAGCATGGTCTAGTGTTGCCACAAGTGACAATTGATAAAAATAATTTCATGTATTTTGTCGATATTACAAGGAAGTTAATGTCAAGTGCAATTTGTCTCTTCTTCGGTTTGAATTTTTGTTCTCGTATAGTTTACACAGCACCTCATTGCGTATGTAGGCATACTCAAACGTAACACTGCGTCAAGCGCATGCCACAGACTAATTGTGTTAGAGCCCTAGGGCTCTAACACGTGTTGCAAACAAATATATCTTGGTTTGTGTTTTAGTACGTAGTACATATTACTTCGAAATTAATGGCAAACCTGTGTTGAAGTAGAAGTATGCTTTTACTTTGCAGCAACCGGAGAACCAGCCACATGCATGGCTGTTGTTGTACCTTTTGCAATAAGGGAGGCTATTTCTTCCGCAAGGCTAGAAAGTGGTATTCCTACAACACAATGGTTTGAAATAGGTAAATTTATATATATTTAAGTTTAAAATCATCAAAACAAAGCTTAAGCTTAAGTTTGCCATATTTTTAGGTGAACAATTTAAAACTGGTTTCATATTGAATAATTGCTTCCTAGCCCTTTCAAAAATGAAAGAATGGCTATGCCAAGCAGTGGAACGTATAATATATGGATTAAATTTGTTTTATTATTTTTCTTATTCAAATATTTACATAATGTTTTATTCTATGTTTCAGATGGTCCGTACACCGTTGAAAAAATTTGTTTGGCCTCTGCCACAAATATTCGAGATTTTAAATATTATTAATACAATTAAGTATATATATATATATATATATATATATATATATATATATATATATATATATATATATATATATATTATTTATAGTAAAATCTAAATTTAATCGCAGTTTCGTTTATCTATGTTATTTATGCTTTCGATTTCTAGAACGTTGCCAATATGCAATTAATGTAAAAAAATCCAAAAATAAATACGAAAGTACCTACCTATAGATATCTGTTTTTCGTGTTGGTAACACGTTGCAATTTGAAGTTTTAATAATTATAACTTTTAACAAAAAGTAAAAATTATATGTACATTTGTATTAATTTATTTAAAAAATACACTTACTTATATGACATTGACTTACATATATGACATTGTCACAAAAACATCCACATACACATCTTTGAGTGGTAGAGCCATGCTGCAGCTATATTAATATTATAGTTGTAGCATGAATGGGTCGGCTCGACCGGGGAAGGACCACGCTCTTACAGAATACCAGCGTAAAGTAGCAGCTTAATGCTGCTGTGTTTCGTATGGTGAGTGTAGAGAACCGGAGACCCATTTTACTTTATCTTATTCCTCACGGCTAACATCGCATCTGCATTTTAATTCGCAAACGAAGATTGATGTAGATGTCTATAGGTCACAGCAACCACTTACCATCAGGTGGAGTGTGTGCTCGTTTGTCACCCTTATCCTATAAAAAAACACACTTTTATATTTTCTGATATGCATATCAATAACAAGTGTACATAAAATTCACAGATTGAGTCGTGCATCTTAATTTAGGATTAATTTGGAGTAGGAAGTAGGTGAGCCGTAGTAGCTCAGATGGTTGGCGCTCGCTATAAGCTTCACAGTACTCGAGCAACCCGGGTTCGATCCCCGCTGGCACCAATGAAATTGTTTATTGCAATTTTAAGTGCTGATTTACCACGTGCTCGGCGATGAAGGAAAACATCGTGAGGAAACCTGCATGTCTGAGAAATAACAAAAAATTTTCAGAAAATGTGAAGTTTGCCAACACGCATTGGGGCAGCGCGGCAGACATTTCCTTGCCCTAAAACCCTCTCAGAACTTATTTCTGTGCCTGGAGGCACAGAAGGAGGCCTGTGCGCAGCAGTGGGACGTAAATAGGCTGCAACTTTATTTTTTACTTTTTGGAGTAGGAAAAACATCCAATCCATGCAACAAAATGAGAAATAATTTAAGTAAATTATGTGCCTAAATAGGAAAAATCTATTGAAAAAAACTCAGGTTCATTTATTGGTAAAGAAAATGGTTTCGTAGTCTCTTTAGAAGTATGCACATTTTTAATTAAAGTACTGGCACTGCGTAGAGATGTTGCATCTCTTTGCGTATTTTATCACATCTATCACTGGGAGTGCTCTGAGGAATTGTTCGGACTAATTCCAGCCGCCAATTTTACCATCGCACATCGCGACAAAACTTGCGATACCATCCATACCATCTGGATGATTGGCGGTCCACCACTGTGCGATTTAGAAGAAGTTTTTTCCCTCGCACAACTTCCTTTTAGAACGATTACCACCAACGATTTTTCCGGACCGATACGACTTAGGGACCTTCAATAAAAGAGCGTACTTCTTTTTAAAAAGCCGGCAACGCATCTGCAATTCCCCTGGTGTTAGTTACTTACCATCAGCTGAGCCGCATGCTTGTTTGCCCCCTCTCCTATATAAATAAAGTATACAATAGATTCTATTCCAAATGTAATTTTTAATAGGAACTAGACGATAAATGATTAGTAAGTTTGATTTTGAAAGTCATATAAGAGTCATGAAATATATCGATGCTAGGTATCGTTTTATACATTTCGTTATATTTGCCACATATACGAACAATAGCAGCATTATTCCCGAGATGAGTTTTCGCGAAAGGAATGTAAAATGTTTTTAAGATGCGACAACGGAGATATTTACGCGGAACAGTTAACAATATGCAAGCAATAAGGTCACTGTACTTACTTACTAAATACTTTATTGTGTACTATTTTATATAGAAAACACAGATCTAGAATGTCTCGTCTATTTCGTACATACATCATCTTAAACGTAGCCAGTCACTGATAGTAAAGCTGTCTATGTGAGACACCACTGGCATGGAAAGAAAATTGTCGAGTGAAGGTACGCTGTACACTTTCAACCTGTTGCGAGTGCACACTCAAAGATGGACTCCATATGACACTAGCGAATTCAAAGTGACTTCTTACAAAAGCATTATATAAAGTAATTTTAGTTCTAGAAGAAAACCCCTTTGTATTGCGTTTTGTAATCCTAAGAACCTCGCGGGTTTATTAAGAATAATGCTTTTATAAGATTTAAAGGTTATCTTTTTGTCAATAGTTACTCCTTCTAAGTCTTTAATCTCCGGTAACTCTTACAAAACTAAATTATCAATTGAGTAACTAGCTAAAAGCGGTTTTTTTCCTAGTGTATTTTACGTGCAAGCATTTGTATAGCTTTAAAGTCATACTATTGACCTCACACCAATGAGATATTCTATTCAAATCATTCTGTATGAGCTTTATATCCTCTACTGATTTTACTGCTTTATAAATTTTTAAATCATCAGCAAATAACGAGCAACGACAATTTTTCATTTCTGTGGTGATTTCATTAGTAAAAAAAATAATAAAGGGCCCTGGTGCAAACCCTGAGGCTCCCCGAATTGAGCTCGATACATTTTAAGTTCGAAACCATTGATATCAACAATATGGGATCTATTCTCCGGATAAAATCTAAGCCATATAATTAAGGAGGGATCAATACCATACAGAAAAATGTTTGTTAATGAGTTGCTTGTGGTCAACCTTGACGAATGTGAATTTTTTTGCGAATTTGTATGATATATGTATAGAATATATTTTATATAATAAATTCTTGTTTATTCGAACTTCGTTACCTTTTTTTATTTCATTATTAGTTTATTTTTATTGCACTATCCTCCATAATATGTTTATCTCTGCTTAGCCTTTTTTTCATGGTGAAATGCCTACGCATACCCGCCTCGCCGGGACAAGGACGGGTTATGTCTGACTTGGACTAATAAAGTCCCATGGGCGAAGGTGGAACACCATAGGTCCACGGGAAAGCTTTCACGCACATTCGCAGCCCCACCAGAGCTGGCTGCCCCTTCTTTTCCTCCATGTTCTCCTTATCAGGCAATGCGCATTAGGAAAACATGGCACGCCTTTCTACACAGCCTGTTATTCCACCTGAGTAACGCTCCCCCCCCCCTCCCCGAGTCCTATACGAGAAAATCGAGCGCTCGGTAGCACCCACTTTCCCGACTCCAGCGGCGGATCTGGTTTTTATCTACGCCACGGGCCAGTCAAGGAGTTCCTCTTTATTTACCGCAGGTGAACAAGCCATGGCTACTAAGCCCCCCCCCTGCCACAACAAGGTGGGAAACCGTTCGGGGGGGCGGGGCTAAAGGTTGACTGGGGGAAAGAATGCTTTAAGACATTAAGTCCGCCATGTTTATTTACATATTAGTTTACCTATTTAATAAAAAAAGAATCATCAAAATTGGTTTACAATCTGCGAAGATATATCATGTAATATATATACAAAAAAATATACACACGGGATGAGAACCTCCTTCTTTTTGAAGTCGGTTAAAAAGTATAACTATGTGTTATACGCCCGCTATGGCGTTATGTTTTGACTACTATATGAGCTCTATGAACTAAGTTTCATCATTATCAAAATCATTACAGCCTTTCATAAGTCCACTGCTGAACATAGCATTGTATTTTATCAGGTGTTTCAACATCAGTTTTTTGTATAACATCACAGGTATGTTTTTATTGTGTCGTTTTCTTTAGCCGGATCTTGACACTTCTAGTCATCGTCATCATTATCATTACAGCCTTTCATAAGTCCACTGCTGAACATAGGCCTCCCCCAAGGAATGTCACAAAACACGGTCCTTAGCCACCTGCATCCATCGGCTTCCTGCATGTCTTACTAGGTCGTCACTCCATCTAGTGGGAGGTCGCCCTACACTTCGCCTACCGGTACGAGGCTGCCACTCGAGAACCTTTCTTCTCCATCGGTTGTCGGTTCTTCGAGCTATATGGCCGGCCCACTGCCACTTCAGCTTACTAATCCGTTGGGCTATGTTGGTTACTCTGGTTCTACTGCGGATATCCTCATTTCTAAGTTTATCACGCAGAGAAACCCCGAGCATAGCCCTCTCCATAGCTCGCTGAGCGACCTTGAGCTTCCGCATACGGCCAGCAGTGAAGGACCACGGTCTCAAATCCGTAAGTCATCACTGGCAACACGCACTGGTTGTACAATTTCGTTTTCAGGTTTTGAGAAATACCTGACGAGAAGATGTGTCGTAATTTCCCGAACGCTGCCCAACCGAGTTGAATCCGTCGATTGACCTCTCGGTCGAAGTTGGACTTACCTAGTCGGACTATTTGTCCCAGGTAAACGTACTCGTCAACAACTTCGAGCTTAGTGCTCCCAACAACTACCGGCATAGATGTGATATGGACGTTAAACATAATTTTTTTGTCCATGTTCATCTTAAGACTTATTCGTCGGGAGACACTATTGAGGTCATTGAGCATAGTGCATAGGTCCTCCCGCAATTCTGCCATAAGTACGATATCGTCGGCAAATTGAAGGTGAGTGACGTACTCGCAACCGATGTTAATACCGTATCCTATCCAGTCCAGAAGCTTGAAAACGTCTTCCAATGCAGCGGTGAAGAGTTTCGGGGATATAACATTTTCCTGTCTTACACCTCTCTGCAATTGGATACGTTTCGTACTCTGGTTCTGTACTCGGATAGCTATCGTAGCTCTACTCTACAAACACTTCAGCACTTCGATATACCGACAGTCGACTTGGCACCGCTGAAGGGACTGCAGCACCGCCCAAATTTCGACGGAATCCAAGGCTTTCTCATAGTCCACATACGCCAGACATAGTGGCAAATTGTACTCTTTGGACTTGTGTGAAATTTGCCGAAGGGTA